AAACAAAATATAAGAAAAGGGCATGTACGACACATGTTTTATGTGTCATTTTATTCATATAATTCAATAGGCACACTCAATAAGTGATATGGACCACCTCTGGATGAATTTCAGGTCGAGGTCAGGTCAAGGTCAGGTCAAGTGAGGTCAAATTTTGAAGTGGGTTGTTAAGGCCTAAAAAGGTGTCTATGTGATGCAGTTTTTCACGGCGAATCGAATGGTGCTATTTTTGTTTCCGTACGAGGTCTAGAAATTAAAAAAAAATCAAAAATTTTGTGGGTTGTGACGTCATAAAATTTTGAAGTACTTCCACATTTTTGAACAGATTCTTCTCAAAATTGGTATGTAGGTGCACCTTCGACATATATTCCGTTTTTCTCGATACACTCCAAATTTTGGATTTTATAATTACTTTTCCAAAAAGTAAGTTTTTTGAAAAAAAATCGGCCAAAATCAAAATTTTTCAAAAAACCGAGATAGCCATTTGATAGACAAAGTAGAATCACGTATAACCTTTTTTGTTACGTCTTGATTCCCTTACAAATGGAGATGTCAGCGGCGTTTGAAATTTTGCCGTTTTTGTGGCGAAAATGGCGAACATGACGTCACTAAAACGTCACTTTCTCAAAAAAAATTCGACGGATTTCGCTCATATTTTCAGGAAACGTCTTAAATTCATGTATGATAACCCTCGTCCGTATAGGGGGGGGGGGGGGGTCGAACGGACCCCCCCATGGTTTTTCGCGAATAACTCGCGTAAAAAGCGGCCGATCGCGACGAAACTTTCAGTACCCTCGCGGTCATCAATTTCACACCTACCCTGAAAATTTCATGACCCTGACCCAAATGACCTTTGACCTGTGACCTACTTTTCGAGACCATGTTTGGCTGGAATCGCGATTCGGCGTATGTCGGCTCGCATTAGCCGCGCGTTTGCAGTCTTTTCGTGGTTTCAAGCGTTCAAACATGTGATATGGTGTTGCCCCCATGCATTAGGGTGGGTGTCAAGGTCACCTGAAGGTCAGGTCAGGTCATTGACCTTTGATGACCTCGGTTCACTTTTTCGAGTTTTACATGTTTCTAGGCCAGTTTTTGGAGCTGAATTCGAATTTAGCAACCATATGAACATTTACGAAGTAGTTTTGGTGCCTTCGTAACATGTTACGAAGCTGTCAGAGACGGTTGTCACCTACTACGAATACCCTTACTGGTTGACCTGACCTGACCTGACCCGACCTGGCCTAAATACATGAAGACATCATCTGTGATCAAAACTAACATGATATTCGTGATCAGCACCCCGAAAAACCCCATAGCAGCCACACTTTACGACCTTCTAACAGGTCCTGATTTTCCCGACTTTGGGTCATTGACCTGACCTGGAAGGTCAACCAATGACCTAGGACCTTAAAATTGGGTATCATCGGCTTCCTCTCGTCACGGGCAACACGCTCGTTTTTTTCCGCGAAGCTCTAGCTCGATCAGGGGCCAAACGGCAAGGGGGGGGGGGTCCAACGGACCCCCCCCCCCCTTATACGTTCGCGGCTGGAAATACACCAATACGGGCGAGGGATAAGGTACTGAAATTTTGACGTCGCTGGCGTAACGCGTTTAGATGTTATTGGCGAAAAACGGGAGGGGGCAGAGTCTGCCCCCAGCGGGGCGCGGGTTAACGGAAGTAGGAAAACAAAGTTTTTTTTTGCATGCTGTGACATGCACCTTGGCTGAAATTGTGTGGAGTTAGCAAGGGGGCTGTTCAGAAAGCTGACCAGTGTTGACCAATTGAAAATATAATGTGATGCCTACCAACACACAACAATGACATAGCATTGTAATGTCAATGGCAAAGCAATGCATTTCAAAATAAATAATCGATGCTTGAATATCACCATGGATTCACAAAAAAATATTTTTCACCCTGATATGCCCAACATAAGTGCCTACCGTTGTATCATATGCGAAAAGAGCTCAACAAGTTCAACGCAACGCACGTTCTTTCAAAACTGATTTTGACACTTTGGCGCAATTATTGTCGACAATATGTGAGGGAAAGTTACCACTAAATCAAATACGCTCTCTCGTTAGCGTGTTGCGAGCTTTCCAAGCCATCTCGAAAATAGGTATCGGAGGGTCGGCATCTCGGGCATCCCATCCCCACCCTTCAGCCGACGAGGTTTAAATGTATGTTAACATGGTCAATGATGGTAAAGACGTGGTACCTGAAAAGTTAAAGCAGTAACTTGTCTATGCAACAATGAGTAGGATGAATCGATCCCGGATATTACAAAGCTATCCGATGATGAACTATCTGCTGGATAAGCGCGACCTCACCTCTTAGCGATCCCCACGGTTGTACATACGCTTGCGCTTGGCATTGCGCTCATTGCGCTCATTTTGGGGCTCCGCTCGCTTGGTTGTATCTTTGCGGCTGCGCTGGATTTCCTGGAGACGGAGGTGGGTGCGCGTGACGGCATACTGCCTGATCACACAGTGATTGATGGCGGCGTACACTTCATCTCCAGTGTGTCTCGGAGCCGCCTGATGATGCCTGGGCCGCGGTCGATGTCCGTTCCGTGCATGGAGCAAAACACGACATCGAAGGCCTGTACTTCCTGAAACCATTTGTCCGAGGGTATATACAGGCCTCCGCGGCTCAGCTCAAACAACCATTCACAGTCGGGACCAGCTCCGCCCGGCGGGCACTGGCTGGACAGGGTGCCCAGGCTGCTGTCCACAGAGCGGAGCTTGTAGGCCAGGTACCCGGCCACGTACGCCAGCCCCTCCCGACTGAACTCTGAACCGGTGGTCTCAGGTCTTTCTCTGGCAGCTCAGGTCTTTCTCTGTGCTGAGAGTTTGCGGCCTCCAGCAGCTGAATAATGTCCTGGAGCTCCGCGTCCACGGAGGCGACCGAGGTATTTTCGTCAGCGAGGTCGTGCACGACTGCGGCGCTCAAGTAGGCAGGGGAGTCCTCCTCCATTGCTACTGAGGCGCCAGACGTCGATGGGCGGCTCCTGGAGCCAGCTGCCACCGCTGGTGACGAGCCCAAGAGGATGAGGCAAACACGTGTCTCAACTCAGGTGGGGTTGGGTTGATGTTCGTTCCTCCCATGCCCCTTACCTGTGAAAAGAAGTTCTCCACGAAGTCCTGTGTCAGCCGGGACGTCAATATGTACGACAGCTCGGCCCCATGTCGCTGACAGAGGGCACTGTGGAGTCCTCGGAGGGCGGTCGACGACATGATAAAGCCGTTCTGGAAGGGCAGCCGACCCCTGTTTCCGACCACACGGGCGTTCAGGCCTCGGTCGGAGTACAGGAAGCCACGGTTTGTTGGCGACAGGTCGCACACTATGGCCACGACCTGGTATCCGGCGTCCTCCACGGCGGCGATGGCCGAGAACATGATCTCGCGGGTCATCGGCTGGTCAAAGTCGAAGTACACTGGCTGTTTCCAGTGACTGCACAGGCCGCGCACCATCAGCACCTGGACTTGTTTGCACGGGCCGTAGACCCTGTCTTCCGTCGAGTCGTAGCAGACACGGTGGTCCACCGTCATCTCGTCGAAAAAGACAGCATCACGCAAGGGCATCACGAACCGTTCGATATCCAGGAGGGTGTCCCGGACACTGCGCATGATCAACGAGCAGTCCATCCAAGATACCTAAAAGAAACAGGTAGGTCGGGTGTTTTGAGTAAAGCCCTGGTGACGTCACGGACATTTCTTATATGGAGAATTTCGCCTTTAAGGAAAATATTCTACAAACGAAAATTTGTATTTTATAAGCAAAAAAATACAGTCTTTCAATTTCAATATGAAACTTATATAACTTAATTACAAAACTTGAAATCCTTTGAGTGTTCGTCCCAACCCCCTGCTATACCCTTGGTCACGTGACTAAAATGATAAACTTTGCGTTTTACAATGTTATGACTTAAACAGAAGTAATAAATATTAAAAGTGTACTATTTATGATGTTTTAGGCAGAAATCGTGTAAATATATCCTTAAATTATATATAATCTGTTGAAAAGAAGTCACGTGATGTTACCAGATTGTGCTCGGACAGCATCTTCTTGAACTTCGATTTCGAGTACTTTGTACCTCCATAGAGGCCTAATAACGGACGTTTTCAGTTATAAAATGAAGCGCTGAATCTAACAAGGGCAAAATGTAATCATGTGTTGCCCTTCAGGCTTGGCTATCCTGGCATGAACTTTGGCCAGTTTGTGTGCAAAGCCCAAGATTCCTTTACTACTCAGGTTGGTTCACTAGGGAAATAAAGGCGCCGTGGTGACGTCATCAGAGGAAATCCTTCACATTCAAATGAAGGGGTGATTTGAATTGCTGATTTTGGCTCGATATAGTCCTACTTTTTAGTTTCAGTACCATTTATCGTGATGAGGCGAATTCATTGTTACATTAGTACATCTTTTGATGACATAAGCCTTGATTTTTTCTCCAGCTCGCCCGAAAGATGATGAAATTTGCATGCATGCCTAAGGGTGAAGGATTCTGCCGCCGTGGTGACGTCACGGTAAAGGAATTCTGGAGCTCGTGAACGGGGGCTGTGCAAAGCCTATGGTGAAGGGAAAACTTCACGCCCAGCTGACGTCACAGACCTCGGCTACCAAATCGTGTCCGGTGGGGGTCGAGTCCATCAGTCCGGGTGGAGTCTGAAAGGCCCGTGTCTAGGTGCGAAGCGTCGTGAGCCCAGACAGAGGGAAGTGAAGCTTGTCCCTCAGGTACCGGTAGCACCGGAGGGACACGCAGCGGATGGAGAGGGCACGAACGATGTCCTCTTCGGCCCATTGCTTTTGGCCCTTGGTTTGCAGCCGGGAGGCCTGCGTGTCGGTGAATACCTCGCCGATAGCACGGCGCAGCTCGGCGAGCTCACGCTGCACCGCCGACAGCTCGGCCTCCAGGCTGGCCTTCTCCGCCTTCCGCACTCTCTCTGCCGCGGCATGGTCACGGCGCATGCTATCTATCTTCTTCTTTCTGCTTCTACTATCTTCTTTCTATCTGTGCCGCCTTCCGAGCCACGAAGGCCTTGTGTTTTTTGCGCGAGTTGCTGAGGTCGCCCTTCCACAGCCGGCATCTCATCGGCGTCCGGACATGACCAACTCTGAAAAACAGGGCATCAGCATCAGGTGGCATCACAGTGCATGTAATTAAACACACTTCTAGTTAATCTAGTATGTCTCCACAGGAATAAGAAATGGCATTAAATGCAAGGAATTCAGTAGTGAAATATGTCCTGCTGTTTGAAGTTCAGTTGTCTGTGTTAGAACGATAATTACATCCTAAATGTTTACATCAGGATACTTTTATGACCAACCCTGCCTTATTATGCTTTGGATATAATTTATAAGACATAAATCATATCCAAAGCATCACCCAAAAAGAGGTGCTTACGGCCCACGGTTCTGGTACTTACCGCGGCGATGTGCTCCAGCGTCTCTTTGGTGTTCCAGAGCTCAACACAGCACTGCCCCTCCTTGGAGTGGAATGGCTGTGGAAATTGTTTTAAGTGAATGGCGATGGCTTTCTACACTTAAAAAAGCGTCTACACTTAAGAAGCTCGATATTTGATACAGAAAGATGATAGGAAAAAGGTCCAGTACATTAAAAATACAGCAAAAAAGTCTCACTCTGGAAATACTTGTAGTCACTAAGTACTGAACAACATAGCAGGTAGTCATTTGCTAGGTAACATCAGAAAGTCAATTCACCTGTGAGGTCGCTTTGGCGTGGCAGGTGTGACATAGTCATGATCCGAAAAGTCGAGGGCATGAAGTGGCCGGCGTCGTCAGTCGGCGAGCCACTGTCGGCCGGCTGGCCGGCGTCGGTCGGCGGCTCCCCGATGGCCAGTGAGACAGCGGCGTCGGCTGACAAGCCACCGTTGGCGGGCGATCTGAATAACAGCAAGCAGCTGAATCAGTTAATGTAGCGTTCATTGCAAAGTGCAATCCTAGACACCAATCTCAGCACACCACTTAATACTATTTATAACTTAAATGAATTGCATATCTGTTTCAATTAACATCAAACTACCACCATTTGTGGAATAACTGTCTTAACCCGCGGGTTGCTGGGGGGGGGGGGCGTTAAACGCCCCCACTTTTTTCCCCGGGCCATAGCATAAAAACGGCGCGCCGCAGGCGCGCCAAATTTTGGGTACCTGTAGGGAATTGATTGAAGTTTATTGTGACAAAGTTTCAAAAAAATCGGTCGGAAAATTTTTGAGATATCGAGGTTTTAGTGACGTCATAATTTCTGAGTTTTTGACCAAAAACGGCATATGTTCAAAAAATCATATAAAATCACAGAACAGACATATAGACATGCCGTAAACACCATTAGACTGCCAATACCATGAACAATCAAATGGCTATCTCCGATTATTGATTATCGTTCCGCATTTTCCAAAATCTTGAACTGAATCTTGGCAATTTCTCGTGACTACTTCACGACCATGATACATGAATTTCTTAAATTGAGCTTTTTGAGCCAACCACGTACACATATGATAAAATGAATGTCACCATCGTGTTCTGTGCTCAAAATTACCCATAAAACATGTGTCACAGGCTGCGAATATCAGTTTTGATTTTCAGGGATATGTGCCTACCCGGTTGACCTGACCTTGACCCTGACCTATGCTTGACTGACCCCTACATGGAGATGACACTCTTGTAGGCCTTATATGATGCATTGTGCAGCGTTTTGACAGAGTTTATGACGAGAGGCGCCCATTGCGAAGCCCTGAAGTCCATGCTACTGAAAGCCCGATTTCAGGTGTTTGACCTGACCTTGACCCGACCTGTGACCTCAAAATTCAACTTAAAAGTACTCATCTGAAGCGTCTCGTCGCGCTCTTTCGTTTGCCGCCTCGTGCGTTTTGCTGCGCCTATTGGTTCTCGAGTTATCGGCTGGGGGCGTTTAACGCCCCCCCCCCAGCAAACGGTGGGTGGCGAAATACCCCAGCAACTGCCGGGTTAAACTGTTAAATATTGAAAAGGTCATTTGGCTGAAGCAAGAAACCTAGTGAAGAGGAAACCAAGAGAAGCATTATTCAAGCAGTGCTGCTTTACCGGAGGATTGTGCAGTGAAGGCAGCTACGCTCTTTGTCTTTAGACACAGGTTCTGGAGCTGGACCAGGAGGGCTCGCTGGACCATGATCACTGATCAGTAGGTTGGCTGAGGGCAGTGGAAGTCAAATGTTATAGAATTATCATCGTTGGAAACAGGGGTGAAAAAAGTTCCGACTCGCCGACGCACGCAGGTGACAGCTTATGACATTTGATGAGACAGCTGGCGGCTTGTCAAATCGATAGTTGACAACGAAAAGCTATAACCAGTCATCACGTCCGCAACCCCTCACATTTCACATTCATTCCAAAGCATTATACATATCCTTATGTGAAGTCACGTTAAAATCATACCAGCAAAAATATAGCAGACGCGTCCACCAGCTTCCGACATCCCTGCTGGCCAATGAAAAAGGCCGGCCGTGTCGTGAGTATACCGGTGGGTTCGATGGGTCAGCTACAATTATGGCGCGATTCTTATAAGTAGTGGCTAGTGATTTGTTGCACCACATTTTATCACAACGTAAATGACGTCATTAAATTTGTGAATTATTGTTTTTTCCATCTGTAACAGTCCATGTAAAAGCAGTTATTTGTTACATATTTAGATTGTTTAATCCCAAAAGTAATGTTTTCATGTGCTTTTTGAGCTACTTGCTAAAATGCTCATAAGTTTTATTTGTCAACGACTCGCGTTTTTCTAGCAAGCAGACCAAGTCAACTAATGAATGCACGCTGTTTCTAGCAAGTAGCCAGTAGGTCACATTTTGAAGTTGATCAACCTGAAGAAATCAACTAATTCAAATGGGGCGACCCGTGCTCACGTGAATGATCGCAGACTCTTTGTCCTGTTTGTGTGGCGGGATTGTGGCCGTTGGCGTTTTTGGTAATTTTTGTTCCACGTGGTTGTGCTCCACTGAAGATGGGAAAAGCCAGACATCGGACACCAACGCAAACACCACGAATGATGCAAGTGGTGGCTCTGCATAGGCGTAGGAACGTTTTCGAAAGTGGGGGGGGGGCAGGGTCCCAGAGGTCCAAAACCTAACCTACCCCCAAAATCCAATTTCTCCTCGGATTTCGGCCACTTTGTTTTCGCAAACATGTTCAGAGGAAAAAAATCGAGGCAAAAACAAAACCAAAATTGGTTAAAATTTCAGGGAGACTCCCGTCCATAAACTCAAACTGATGGGCGCGTTCCCCTGTCCTCTGCAGCCGTTGGCACCCATGCAAATTCCAGAGGCATCCAGCAACTTTTTCATTACGAGCAAGCGTGAAACGTGCAAAGCGAGTCTTTTCAATATACCTATAAAATCAGCATGGACGGCCCAGCTAGGCTCAGCCAGGCCTATAACGTTTTTAAGAGGTTTTATCTCAGCGACCACTGCAACTGGGCAGATTGACTAAATCAGAGGCCAGTGTGGGACTTTTAGAGGCCGGTCTGGGCCCTCAGAGGCCAGCTTAACCCTCGACGGCTCGGACCTATAGGTTTTCTACATACGCGCCGGCCGAGGGGGCGGGAGGCGGGTACGCTCCAGGTGCAGCTAGCGCGTCGCGGAAAATAACGAGCGTGTGCGCTGTTACAAGACGCAGAGATCGATACCCGATTTTAAGTTCCTGGGTCAACCGGTGATCTCTGAGGTCAGGTCAAGTGCCTCAAGGCACATTTCCGTTTTTTGGTAAATAACTTCGCAAAAAAACGGCCGCAGAGCCGCGATTTTGCCAGCATCGTGTTCACCTCTCTCAGGCGCGTCGAATGATATACTTTTCGTTTGTTTGGGTGAGGTAAACTTAGGGAGTTGACCTCCCTCAAGTTAACCTCACCGTTAGTCACGGTCAGGTCAGCGCCCCCAGGTCACGAAATTGGTCGAAGGAGGTCATGTCGCATATCATTCGATTCGGCTGTCTTCCTGAGTCCATTGGTGGCGTTCCCGACTCGCTAGCTCAACTTGATCGGTAGTTATTGACGAAAAACTAATATGGCCCTTACAACTTCATAAATGACGTCGCGCAAGGTCAACATTACAAAAGTGACGCATCGAACCTTGCAAGGAGTGCATGAAATCACGCTTCGGTGTGCTTGAGATCGTTGGAGATCGTTCCCGGCGCCTGAAAGTTTTCAGTTTATCCCCATTGACTTATACCTAATGGTGAGGTCACGAAAATGACCTGACCTCATATAACCTTTAGGAAAAATCCGAGATGTACAAGTTGTGAGACTCCTAATGTAGGTATACTAGGTCCTCCAAGGTTCATTTCCCTGTGAAATCTCCTCTGGCAGTGAGGGCGTTGCGAAGTTGCGACATCTGAAGACCGTGCAGACTGCAGAGGTTCACTTATGGCCTCATGGGTCAGTGACCTGATCTGACCCGAAAATGCGGTTGGTGTCAAAAGATCCGGCTTGATTCAAAGGTCAGGTATGCCAAGCTTCAGCTCTCTATCGCCGGCGTGTTCGGAGCTATCGCGAAAAAAACCTATGGAGGGGCGGCACCCCTCCCCCTCGGCCGGCGAGGTTTAAGGCCCTCAGAGACCAGTACAGGGCCTGCAAAGGGCAGGATGAGACTTTTAGATGCCGACTTGGACCATCAGAGGCTAACGTGGGTCCTTACAGGCCAGCATGTGCCCTCAGAGGTCAGTGTGGGACCCTAAAATGCCGGCATAGGCCGGTGTTGGACTTCAGAGGCCAGCAGAAGGCCCTCAAACACCAAAATGGGCCTCAGAGGCCAGCATCGGGTCTTCAGAATCCAGTGTAAGGCCCTCAGAGGCTAATGTGGGTCCTTACAGGCCAGCATGGGCCGTTAGAGGTCAGTGTGGGGCCCTAAAAGACCGGCATGGGCCGGCGTTGGACCCCTAAGGCCAAGATGGACCCTCAGAGGCCGATGCGGACCCTTAGAGGCCGGCATCGGGTCTTCATAATTCAGTGCAGGGCCCTCAGAGGCACCTAAAGGTTAGTCTTGGGACCCCAGAGACAGAAATGAGGCCACCAGAGGCCGGTGTGAGGCCCTCAGACGCCGGCTGGGCCCTTGAGGCCGGT